CTTTTTTTCTACTTCACTGGGCTCTCTCTGTGTCCTTGCTGGTACCTCCTCATCTCCTCAACACCTTAATGTTGGACTGCCCCAGAGCTAAGTCTCCAGTCCTCTTCTTGTTGCTATCTATATTCACAAATTTGGTGGTCTCAGCCAGTCTCATGTCTTTAAATATCATCAATATGCCAGAGACTTTCAAGTTTATATGTCCAACTGGGGCCTCTTGCCTAAACTCCATACTTGACTATCCAGCTGCCTACCTAGCATCTCTCCCTGAAAGTGGAATGGACATCTCAAAGTTAATGTGTACAAAACTGAGCTTCCAATGTTCCTCCAAGTCTGCTCCTCCAGGAGCTGTCTCGATCTCAGTGATGATAGTCAATCCTTCCAGATGCTCAGGCTAAAAACTGGACTTATTCTTGATTCCTCACTTCCTCTCATAACCTATATAAACTCTTGTCATGGATTGAATTGTGTCCCCCCAAAATATCTGTCAGCTTGGCTAGGTCATAAGTTCCAGCATTGTAATGATTGTCTATCATTTTGTCATCTGATGTGATTTCCCTATGTGTTGTAAATTCTATCACTATGATGTTAATGAGATGGATTAGTGGCAGTTATATTGATGAGATCTAAAAGATTAGATAGTGTCTTAATCCAATCTGTTTTGAGATCTAAAAGAGAAGTGAGCAGAGAGACATGGGGACCTCATACCACCAAGAAAGCAGTGCTGGGACACAGCTCGTCCTTTGGACCTGAGGTTCCCGCGCTGAGATGCTCCCAGACCAAGGGAAGACTGATGCATCACAAGGACCTTCCTCCAGAGCCGACAGAGAGAGAAGCCTTCCCCTGGAGGTGCCCTGAATTTGGACTTCCAGCCTACTGGACTGTGAGAGAATAAACTTTTCTTTGTTAAAGCCATCCACTTGTGGTATTTGTTATAGCAGCACTAGATGACTAAGACAACTGTTAGCAAATCCTGTTGGCTCTATCTTCAAAATATATCCAGAATTTGACTGTTTCTTACCCTTTTACTGCCACCACTATGATCTCTTACCTGAATTATAGTAATAAATCTACCTTGACCTTTGCTGCCCCTACAATGTATTCTCCGCATAGCAGCTGGAGTGATCCTTTCAAAGGATGCAAGAACCTCAATAACTTGAAGTTGCCTTAAGAAGACAGTGCAAGGCAACTAGATGGTTCCCGGCTACCACCACTGATTGCTCTGACAGGGATCACAATAGAGAGTCCCAGACAGAGGTGAAGAAAACTGTAGAAAATTCTAACTCACAAAAAAAGACCAGACTTACTGGCCTGATAGAGACTGGAGAAACCCTGAAAGTATGGCCCCAGACACCCTTTTAACTCAGTAATGAAGTCACTCCTGAGGTTCACCCTTCAGCCAAGGATTAGACAGGCCCATAAAACAAAACAAGACTACAGGGGCACACCCACCCAGGGGCAAGGATTAGATGGCAGGAGGGGACAGGAAAGCTGGTGATTGGGAACCCAAGGTTGAGAAGGGAGAGTGTTGATATGTCATGGGGTTGGTAACCAATGTCACAAAATAATATGTGTAGTAATTATTTGAGGAGAAGCTAGTTTGTTCTGTAAACCATCATCTGAAGTACAATAATAAAAAGAAAGAGGAAGAGAGTACAAGGAATGTACTCTCAACAGCAGAAAACAAACAAACAAACAAAAAGTTGGAGACACTGTTTAAGCCAAATACCCAACCTTCAACAAGGGAGGAAGAGGCTGGAAACTTCAACCTAGATAAGTGCAAAGTACACGTGTGACTTAAAGATTTCAGGGCCAGATACTTTGAGCAGCAGCAGCAGCAATAATAGTGATCATGAGAACCAGTCCAAGACATCAAGCTAGGTGTGAGTCAGGTATATCAACCAGAGACCATGCTGGTCTGTTGTTCCATAAATCTCAGGTTTCTGTAGCCCCCTCTGTCCAATCTCTCTGGGATTTGCACTGCAGTAATTATACTGTCTCTAAGCACAGTTAGGCCTGGATATCCAGTTGGGCATCTGGAAGCCTCAAGTCTGGGCTTGGCTTCTAAAGTCTCAGGGACATTAGGTCGGACTCTAAAATTTTCCTTGGTCAAATATGGTGCTATTCACCCACAAACCCCATATTTAAAATCCATTTCCTCCTCCTTCCTAAGTCAGGCCTCCTTATCCCAGCTCTGTGGAAAGGACAGTGACCTCTGTCCCTTGGATCACCCAGACATAGAGTTCCCTGTGAACCAATCCTAGGCCTGCCTGACCAAAAAGAAGCCCTCACCTCTGTGGCAGACAGGAATTCTAGAACCCCCAAGGTTAGGGATGACATGCTAGACTTCAATGGTCACATTGCCAGATTCCAATATTACAGAACACTCTGTCTACTGAGACCTCCAGCTGATTGTTTGAAGGCATAATGAAAACAGTATGTGTTGATGAGATTCATTCATGTTATTATGTATAGCTGTAGTTTGTTAATTTTCATTGTTGTATGGCATTCCATTGTATTAACATGTCTCCAGATATTGGACATTCTACTGTTGATGGACATTTGGGTTGTTTCCAGTTTGGAACAATTACAAACAATGTTGCAATACACATTATTTTGCATATTTAAAGAACCATGGAATGGCACCCTAGTTCTCTGAGTAAAACCACTATTCTTACAATAGTCCTCAAGGCCCTATGTGTTATTTCTTTGACCTAATATCCTACTACTCTCTCCCTTGCTTATTCCATTCAGCCACACCAGACTCATAATACTTGTCAAACATGCCAGCTACCTTGTTTTAGAGCCTTTGCACTGGCTATTCCTTCTGCCTGGAAAGCTCCTCTGCCAAGATCTTGGCAAGGCTCTTTCCCTCTCCTTTAAGTTTGCTTCCACATCCCCTTCATGAGATCTAGCTGACCACAGTTTAAAATTTCAATTTGCTTCCCTAGTACTCTCATTCCTTTCTATCCTGCTCTATTTTCTTCATACATTTATCATGTGTAATTCTAAGATATATTTCATTAAGGAGCCCAGGTGGTGCAATGGTTAAGCACTCGGCTGCTAACTGAAAGGTCAGCGGGTCGAACCCATCAGCTGCCATGTGGGAGAAAAGACCTGGTGATCTGCTCTCATAAAGCTTACAGCCTAGGGAACTCTTTGGGACAGCTGTACTCTGTCATATAGGGCCGCTATGAGTCGAAATCGACTCGATAGCACACAACAGCAACATATATTTCACTGTGTTTTTACTTTAATTAGTCTGTCTCCTCTGGCTAGAAGGTAAGTCCCAGAGGGCAGGGATCTTTATTTGTTCACTGAAATATCTGAAATGCCTAGAACAGTGCCTAGCACATGGTAGAAATTCAATGAGTATTTGTTCATGAAGGAAGGGAGCGGAGGAGAGGGGGAGGGAGGGAATGAAAGAAGGAAATTTTTTTGTCCTGAAAAGGGGGGTAGCAGATAGCATCAGGGAAAGGATTTTCTAAGACGGGAGAGATTTCGATATGTTTCATTGCTGAGGAGGGGAGCCAGTCGAGGCTGAAGATATCAGAGAATGGACTGCATCAAGTCACTGAAAAGGTGAGAAGAAATGGGATACAGAGCAAAGTGATGAGATTAGCACTGGACAAATCCAGGGCTGCAAAGAGTGGATGTAAGCCTGGTTAAAAAAAAAAAAAAAAATTAAGTCCAGCAAGGGTGGACAGGCTAAACATTTTACATGGGACTTGTATTGCTATTCAAAATAGTTGGCTCTTGAGGCTCTGGGCCTCCTTCTGGATGGGTGGGCCTGGTAATTTTAACCACCAATCCTCCCTACTGTCCCCACCATCAGTCTGGACAAGTCAAGGTATGACTTTTATAACAGGAGGGAACAAAGAAAGGATGGATGCTGATGCAGACTGTCATAGACTTATGGGTAGGATCCCAGTTGTTTTTGCTTTTATTGTTTTTCACAGAAGCAGGTGAAGTCATTTTCTGTAACTGAATTATGCTGGCAATAGTGGCTTTGGGGTATGAGGAGAATGGATGTTTGATATTTTTATTATGGAAAATGGGAGAATATTAGGAATACTGGGAATTGCTGTTTTGGGTAAAGGTAGAGAAAGTTTACTAGAGGAACATAGAATTATGTCCAGTTAAGGATGGTGATGTCAATTTATAGCTGCTAGAACTTGCCCAATTGTGCAATCTGCTTCAGTAGTGCTCGGCAGCCCAAGTGCAGGCTTGAAGATTCAACCCCAGGGTTGAGTTCCTTTTTTTTTTTTGGCCAGGTCGGTGAGATAGAAAAATGGAGCAAGTAATTCAAGGCAGCAAAATTACCTTGGCTGAATTGATAGACAATGAAATTTAAGCTGGACAAGGAAGAGTGAAGATGTAAGGGGACTGATAGGAATAGAGGGGTCTATGGATTACAGCAATGTTTATTAAACTTTAATATGTATAAAAATCACCTGGGAAGGGTCAGATCCTGAAATTTTCCAGTAGGTCTGGGGTGAAAACCAGAATCTGTATTTTCAACAATGATTCTAGTTGATTGTGATGCAAGAGGGCCTTGGACCATTTTTTAAAAAAAGAGTGGATTTGAAAGAAGTGAGATTTTGAGAGGAGCTGAGAAGGAGAGAACGAGCAAGCCAGAGTGAGAGCTGGAAGGAAAGGTGGTGATAGTATGAGGTGACTAATTTATTATCCCTAAACGGGAAACAACCTGTAATGATTAAAGGTGAAAGATATGTCCAACGGAGTGGGTGGCTGAAGTGGAGTGGGGGTGAGTGTCACTAGGGGGGAGGAGTCAAGGCATGGAAAACTTAGGTAACCCATGTAGACCTTGAAGTCTCTTCAAATGATGGCAGTACTTGGGCAAGAGAGCCCAGTGTGAGCAAAGTTCAAGGCCATCAGTAAACGAAAGGGAAGGAACTACAGATGGGTAGACAAAGCAAAGACATGGGGCAGAGGCTAGGAGTATTCACAAAATGAGGAAGTGAAACTGGCTAACATTAAATTGAGTGTTTATTGTTGCAGGTTTTACATATATTTAGTCCATTTAATCCTCATAAACAACCATATGAAGTCAGTGCTATTTTTATGTTCCTTTTATGATAAGGAAACTGAAGCACAGAGGATCAGCCAGCACCTCAAAGTTCTTATCCTCTATGCTATATTGACTCTCATAAAAATAGTAATGGAAGGTGTTTAAATACATTTCAACTGAAAAAAAAAAAAATCAGCTCCCCTGGATACTGTTAGGAACAGAGTTAACTTCTTTGGAAAAACAATAGAAAATTTCTTTAAATTCCATTTGTACTGAAATATTTGTTTTTCAATATCTAGCAGGTGGCAGCACTAAATAACAATTCCACATAACTCATCTAATACAAAAATTAATGCTGTCTGCATACATCAAGACTTCTGGTTTTTCCATGCCTTGAAGATTTCTTCAGCAGCATCCAGTGTACTATCTTTCTATAAAGTAATGAAATAATCATTATTACCTATCAAAATAAATTCAAGATGAAGCAAATATTTAAATAAAAAAAAATACCAATAAATGAAGATTTAAGTGAATATCCGATTTCAAGCGAAGAAAACTTTTCAAGGAGAAGTTGCAAAGGCAGAACCCCCCAAAAGGAAACAATTAATCAAATTAATATGTAATTACAGAAACAAGTCAAAGAGTACAGAGAGCTTACGCTGAAAAATAATAGTTATCTGCTCCACCCCTCTAACCACTTCCTATACTCTCTCCATCCCCCAAGACAATCTTCTATGGTAATTTCTAGTTGTAGTGCTAGTGATTACCACCAAAATCTAGTATGCTTATGCTTCTGTTTCTTTATTTATCAACTTCAGACAATATCTACCATTCTTTTCTCTGAACAAGGAAAATTTATCTCATTGATACTACTCTGTCCCCTCCTATCAAGTTGCAGTTATAATGTTATTATTGATAATAATTTCTTTCTCTTTTGAATAGGGAATATATGCATGTGGTTGTTAGGTGCTGTGAAGTTGGTTCCAACTAATAGCGACCCTATGTACAACAGAACAAAAAGCTGCCCGTTCCTGCGCCATCTTTACAATCATTGCTATGTTTGAGCTCATTGTTGCATGTGGCAATTCATCTTGTTGAGGATCTTCCTCTTTATCGCTTAGTCTGCACTTTACCCAGCATGATGTCCTTCTCTAGGGACCACTCCCTCCTGATAACCTGTCCAAAGTACAGGAGATGTAATCTTGCCATCCTCGCTTCTAAGGAGCATTCTGGCTGTACTTCTTCCAAGACAGATTTGTTCATTCTTCTGGCGGTCCATGGTATATTCAGTATTCTTCGCCAACACCATAATTCAAAAGCATCAATTCTTCTTCAGTCTTCCTTATTCGTTGTCCAGCTTTCGCATGCATAGGAGGTGACTGAAAACACCTTGGCTTGGGTCAGGGGCACCTTAGTTGTCAAGGTGACATCTTTGCTTTTTAACACTTTAAAGAGGTCTTTTGCAGCATATTTGCCCAATGCCCTATGTCGTTTGATTTCTTGACTGCTGCTTTCATGGTCATTGACTACGGATACAAGTAAAATGAAATCCCTGACTTCATTACTTTCTCCGTTTATCATGATGTTGCTTATTAGTCCAGTTGTGAGGATTTTTGTTTTCTTTATGTTGAGATGTAATCCATACTGAAGGCCGTAGTCTTTGGTATAAAATTAAAAAGAAAGGGAAGGGTAAACAGTAAAAATTAAATTTCCTTTTCTTCTTCTACTTCCTCTTTTCCTTCCTCTTCCCTCTCTACCAGGATGTTTCAGTCCAAAGGCCATTAGGCAGAACTGAGCAAAGGGCTGTTATGGCAGCCCTAGGAAACTAATCCAACTCCTACCGCCCAAATCTTGATTTTGAATACCGAACCAGAACTCATTGAAAATGGCTGATTCCAGATTGATAACGACAATATGAGCCTAGTCATTTTGTTATTCCAAAAGGTAAGGAAGTGCTCAAAGAATGATGGGGACATATCAGAGGAGACAGAAGTCAGCTTAAAGGGGCTCCTACTGGCCAAATTTGGGACAATATGAGCATCAAAATAAATATTCATAATAATAGTAATCACAAATAATAAGTAAATAAGTTATAACCCACTGAATGAAATAGGAATCCATGAGTCCTTACTGATATGGATAAATAAATGAATAAATTGAAAGTCTGACGAGAGAGGAATATTTTGTCTCAAAGTGTCTTACCATGAAATATTTGTTATTTATCAAGGGAAAAAGTATAACTTTACAGTACAGAAGTCTGGCAGACACACTAATCAAGTGATCAAAGTGAACATCACCAGTAATAGGGCATATTGAAGTCATGTGCACCTGACAGGATGCACGGAGAACACATCATCACTTCTGTAATATTTCTGCCAAAGATATACAACCTAAATCTAATTATGAGAAAAGAGCAACCAGACTTGAAGGAGATATGGCCTGGATTGTTTTACTGACTGATTGATGGATTTATATGATTCTGGCCTTTGTGTATCTATTTGCTATAAAATGCATTATTGGGACAATTGTTGAAATGAATTGGGTCTGAGGATTAAATGGAATCAATGCTAACTAACTTCATGATTTTGAAGGTTATATTGTGGTTATGTAGGACAATGTCCTTGTTTGTGGAGAATACACACCAAAGTATTTAGGGGTGATGAGAATCACCAGTAAATAAGTTGGCAACTTATTATGAAATGGTTCAGGAAAAAAAAGTTCCTGGAATTTTTCTATTGGGAGTATTTCAGAATTTTTTTTTTTTTTAAATGTTAAGTCAATGTCCCACTGGTCTCCCTAGCCACTCAGTTCTCCCTAGAGTTTAATATGTACCTTTCAGAGATATTCTAGCCATTTGTAAGCATGTATCTGTATATACATATTTTCCTTTTTATACAAACGATAGCATTCTATATAAACTGTTTTGCTCCTTGCTTTTAGATTATGTTCTACCAATAAATGGAGAGCTGCTTCATTCTTTTATTGATATGAATGAGCCATAATTATTTAAGTAGCCCCCCAGTGGTAATTATTTTGGTTGTTTACAATCTTTTGCTACTGCACACAGTGCTTCAGTGAAAATCCTTGAGAACAAGTCATTCAACATGTGCAAGTAAATCCACAGGAGCAATTCCTAGAAGTGAATTGTTGGGTGAAAGCGTATGTGCATTTACATTTTGTTGGAGGTTACCAAATTAATTACAGTACTAACCACAAATTATTCTCCAACTCTACGTATGAGTGTTTTAAGAAACTTTTTAGTTGTTTCCATTCTTGTAGTTTAAAAAAATTTCATTATGATTTTAATTTTCCTTTCTCTTATTAATGAGTGAGGCTGAATACTTTAAATATGTTTGAAAGCCACTAAGGATTTTAATTCATAACCATTGAAAAGTGCTGCTTTTTGCCTTATTATTGTTACGCTGCCTGAATTCAATCTGCTTTCTTTTGATTTTCATTTTCTTGGCATGTTTTTCCCATCCTTGGAGTCTGAGTCCACAGTAATCATCCTCTCCTGCCCCTCACTGACGTGTTGATCATATTGTCTACATGCCCAAAGGATTATTTATCTTTGAAGTCCAATATATTAAATAAGGTATATTTCAGGGTTAGTCATTCTGTGAGAATTATTCCTGAAACAAGGAATTTCTTTTAAAACTTTAGATTTGTGTGGATGTGTGTATATTTTTAAGTGAAAAGCATTCTGAAATAAAGCTATACAATTTTTCCGTGGTTCCATTTAGTTTGCTCTTTTCTTTAGGTACTCTAAGTATATGTTGGATTTCATTTGTCTTCCACATCTATAGTTTTTCTCTTTAATATTATTAAATTCTTTCTTTCCACTTCCTTTTGCTTTCTCTTCTCAATCCTTAATGTGCTTACATAGTTTCTGGTGTCCTTTGTGCTGTTTCCAATTTCATCATAATTTCCAATGGTTTCATTTTTCCTTTCAATTTCTTACCTGAGCTCTGCCAGTTTTCATTTCATCTTTTTATAGTACCTTAACCTATCTTCCTTGAACTTAAAAAAAGAAAAACTCTATTTTAATCTCATGTTAAACATTTTGAATTCAAAATACCACATTTTTATTTGTTCTATGGCAACATTTATTGGTGAATATTCTCTGTCTGACATTTCTTTTTCCTTATAGTGATTTTTATAGATTCGTAGCTGGTTCTTTTTTTAAAAAATTATTTTATTGTGGTGAAATATATATAGCATAAAATTTGCCATTTTAACCATTTTTAAATGTACAACGCAGTGCTGTTAATAACATTCACAGTACTGTACAACCTTCACCACTATCTATTTCCAAAACTTTTTCATACTCAAACAGAATCCAAGTACTATTCCTCTAGCCCTGGTAACCACTAATCTACGTTTGTCTCTACGTATTCTAGATATTTCTTATAAGTGGGATCATGTAATACGTATCCTTTTGTCTTGCTTATTTCACTTAGCATAATGTTTTCAGGGTTCATCCATGCTGTAGCATTATCAGAACTTCTTTTCTCTTTATGGCTAAAAAATATTCCACTGTATGGATATATCACATTTTGTTTATCCATTCATCTGTTCATGGACACAGGTTGTTTCTGTCCTTTCGCAATTGTGAACAGTGCTGCAATGAGCATTGTTGTACAAGTATCTGTTTGCGTTCCTGCTTTCAGTTCTATTGGATATATACCTCAGAGTGGAATTGCTGGGTCATATGGTAATTCTATGTTTAACTTTTTGAGGAACCTCCAAACTCTGTTCCACAAGGGCTGCACCATTTTACATTGCTGCTAGCAAAGGACCAGGGTTCTAATTTCTCCACATCCTTACAAACAATTGTAATTTTTTGATTTTTTTATAATAGCCATCCTAGTGGGAGTGAAGTGGTATCTCATTGTGGTTTTGATTTACATTTTTCTAATGTCTAATGATGTTGAGCATCTTTTTATGTGCTTGTTGGCCATTTACATTATCTTCTTTGGAGAAATATCTATTCAAGTCTTTTGTCCATTTTTAAATTGGGTTGTCTTTTTGTTTTTGAGTTGTAGGAGTTTTTTTTTTATACATTCAGGACATTAAACCCTTATCAGATATATGATTTACAAATATTTTCTCCCATTCTGTATGTTGTCATTTCACTTTCTTGATAAGGTCCTTTGATGCACAAAAGTTGTTTTTGATGAAATCCAATTTATCAATTTTTCCTTTTGTTGCTTATGCTTTTGGTGTCATATCTAAGAATTCTTTGCCAAATACAAAGTACTAAAGATTTAACCTTATGTTTTCCTTCTAAAATTTTATGATTTTAGCTTTTAGATTTAGGTCATTGATCCATATTGAGTTAATATTCATATATGGTGTGAGGCATGGGTCCATCTTCATTCTCCTGCATGTGGAAATCTAGTTGTTCCAGTACCATTTATTGAAGAAACTATTCTTTTCCCATTGAATGGACTTGGTACCCTTGCCGAAAATCAGTTAGCCATAGAGGTCTGGGTTTATTTCTGGACTCTCAATTCTATTTCATTGTCCCGTATGTCTATCCTTATACCAGTACCACACTGTTCTGATTACTGCAGCTTTGTAGTACCTTTTAAAATCGGGAAGGGTAAGTTCTCCTACTTTGTTCTTCTTTGCCAAGATTGTTTTGCCTGTTCAGGGTCCTTTGCAATTCCATACACACTTAAGAATCAGCTTTCCCATTTCTGCAAAAAAAGACTTGTAATTTTGATAGGGATTGCGTTGGATCTTTAGATCTCTTTAGACAGTACTGACATCTTAACAATCTTAAGTCTTCCTATCCATGAACACAAGATGACTTTCCATTTATTTAGGTTTCTTTAAATTTATTTCAGCAATATTTTGTAGTTTTCAGTGTACAAGTCTTTCACTTCCTTGGTTAAATTTATACATAGGTGTTATACTCTTTCAGATGGTATTGTAAATGGAATTGTTTCCTTAATTTCCTTCAGATAGTTCATTGCTGATGTATAGAAACCTATACACAGAAGCCTAATTGCTCTGGCTAGATCTTCCAATACAATGTTGGGTAGCAGTGGTAAGAGTGGGTATCCTTGTCTTCCTGATTTTAGGAGGAAGTTTTCAGTCTTTCGCCATTGAGTATGATGTTACCTGTGAGTTTTTCATAAACACCCTTTATCAGGTTGAGGAATTTATTTTTTCTTCCAGTTTGTTGAGTGTTTTTATCATGGAAGTGTGTTGGATTTTGTCAAATTACTTTTATGCATCAATTTAGATGATCATGTGATTTTGCTGGATTCTTTTCATTATTACTCAGTTTTGATTGAATTCTCTTTGGAAGCTCCCACTGCCACACACTTATAGTTCCTTTTGTTTTGGACAGTGTGTATGCTACCTGCTGGCTTTGTTGTAAGATTTGAAGATATAGAAGCAGATATTTACTATATGGAAGAGCCGGGACAGCAGAAGGGAGCAGGCATTCTCCCAGGCTCACACTAAGTGTAATGTGATTAAAATAGGGTCATTGAGGGGGGGTTCTTTTAGACTTTATTTCTTCCCAGCTACAGGTAGTCCTCAACTCATGACAGGGTTCCGTTCCAATGACTCCATCGTAAGTTGGTTCTGACATAAGTCAAATACCTCATTTTTTTTAGTTTTCATTATTATTGCCTCTTATTATCAGTATCTTTATAAATCTGATCTTTATCTTTGGGAGTTAGAAACATTACATCCGAGAATGATAACATCAGCAAATTATGCACTGCAACATTATATGTAGTACATATTACTAACGATAAGATATACCAAAAAAAAAGGACAGTCGTAAGTGCAGATCATCATAATTAAATATGCTATCATTTAAAATATCTCTTCCACATTGCCTCAACACAGCTTTTAACAAAGATGGCAGGACTGAATGAGGAAACCTACACCCCAGCAAGAATCTGCTTTCCACCCTGTTTCACAGTTTCTAGATAGCACGGCTGCATTTTTCCTTATGTCTACAGTGCTTTTCCATGATACCAAACAGGTCTAAGGAAGTTCCCACTACCAGCAGCACACCTACTGTTCCTATTTTTTCCAAATAATGAATATACTACCTGCTGACTCTGTCTACGAATTGAAGATGTAGGAGCAGGATCCTTTCTAGGTATCTTCGTTCTACTGTTACCTTCCCTGTATTTGGCAGCCCTTCCTCATATACCAAGGTTTAGAATTATATGTATCTACTGGTTTCATTGAAGATGAAATTTGTGAGTATGTTTTTCATTCTTCTAATTATTTTTAGATTATTTCCACAAAGAGAATGGGAATACTCACCATTTGAAAACAGGAAGTGTTATGTTACTTTTTTCTTCTATTAGTTATGTTTATTCAAGTAAATATATGTATGCCTTTATTTTTAGGTCTACTGGAAGATGAACATATTAACAGTCTTACCTTTCCTACATTTCAGGTAACTAAACTTTTACATTGTTAAGGTTGTTAATATTTATATTATATTCTGGACAAGTCTTCTAAAGTTTGCCCATAGGTTGTCTCTAAAAGTCGAAAACAATGTTTACATTATATGAATAGGTTTGCAGGTAAGTGAGCTGGCATAGAGAGTGCCTTGATCTCAGTAAGACTGTTTTCAGTAACAATAAAATCTTAAAAACAGCAATGTACTAAAAACTTTTTTAGTACAGGTCTGCTAGTGATGAATTCTCTCAGCTTTTGTTTTCATTTTTAAAGGATATTTTCCTGGATATACAATTTGGTATTTATATATATATATACCACTTTAAAGATGTCATTCCATTGTTTTCTGGCCTCTATTGTTTCTGTCAAGAACTCAGTTATCATTTGTATCTCTGTTCTTATGTATATTCTGTGTACTTTTCTCTGTCTGCTTTCAAGATTTTATCTTTTGACTATGATATACCTAGGTGTGGTTTCTCTGTATCAATCCTGTTAGGGTTCACTGAGCTTTTTAGATCTGTAAGTTGATGCTTTTCACTAAATATGGGAAAATTTTGGTCATTATTTTTTAAATTATTTTTCTGTCACTTTCTCCTCTTTCTGATATTCTAATTATATACATGTTTAAACCACTTGATATTTTCTCATAGATCTCTGAGGCTCTGTTCATTCTGAAAAACTAATTTTTCTCTCTTTTTTTTCAATTTGGATAGCTTCTATGGATCTGTATTCAAATTAACCTTTTTTTCTGACATCTCCAATCCTCTGTTAAGCCCATAAATTTTTCATATCAGATACTATACTCTCAAGCTCTAGAATTCTATTTGGTTCTTTTTATAGTTTTAATCCCTCTGTTGTTGACTCATTATGACCATTTTTTTCGTTTAATTTCTTGAACATATTTGTAATATCTGCTTTAAAGTCCTTGTCTGCTAGTTTCTACATCTGGGTCAATTTGGAGTTTGTTTACATTGACTCTTTTTTTTTTTTTTAATTATAGATAACATTTTCTTCTGTCTTTATATGTCTAGTCATTTTTTATTGTATGCTGGACATTGTGAGTGCTATGTTGTAAAGAGTCTGGATTATGTCTCCTTTCAAAGAGTATTGAGTTTTGTTCTGGTAGACAGTTAATGTTGTGGCAGAAAGCCAAAATTTAAAAATTGCAGGTGACCATTTTATTCCTAACAATAGAAAAAAACTCAGTGCTTTATAAATCAGAAGGAAAGATATAAATTTGTTTTGAGTAGAATAAGGGGACTTACTTTAATGAAGCAAAATCTCACAAATTTCTCAAACTGTAATTTAGCCTCTGAGTTACAGAATGCTGAAACAGGAATGGCTGACAGTTTCTGCAACATAAATATGAATACATAAGAGGAAAACTATTTACACTTCAAATATTAATTTTAGGACCAAAAAGATTAGAAACAAATAGATACTTTTAAATAGTCATAGCAATTTTCAAAATGAAAAATGTTTTTCATCCTCCAAATATCCACCAGTGGAATATCATATACAAAACTACAGTTAACATTTTTCAAAGCATGTCAGCAGGTCTTTTTCATAAATTAACTATACAATGCAACACAGTATTGCAAAGGGCAATAAACATTACCTTATTTTTAGTCATCCATTTCACAAATTTGTAGTCATAAGGTTCATTGTTGTTCATCTCAGAGAGGTCTGCATCTAAAATAGCAGTAAAATTAGGACTATATATTATAGACAGGCAAGATGTATTTCATTTAAGTTATTAAGATTCAAATATTTTCCCCTGATTTAAACCAATTCAGTTTAAAATTTTCTACGGAGATTTTTATAGAATCTGCTGGAGTCTCATACTGCATAATGTGGTGGAAAGTGAGGATTTCACAGATTAATATTCTAAGGAAGTACTTAAACATCTGTTTGTTCACACTTATGTATAAAATCCTAACATGGGAAGAGAGCAAAAAAGGAGAAGGGAAGAAGAGTGTTGCCTAGAAATAATATAAGACTCTATGATCATTATTAAGGAAGTAACACCTACATTTCACTATAGGTTATTCATCAGTAATAATTATATCTCTAAATAGCCATTCACTAGATTGTAAGCTCCATGAGAATAAAATGTCTGTTCTTCAATCTATTGTATCTCCACTCCTAGCTCAGGGTCTAGCACATAAGTAATGAAAAAAAAATTTCTTGAATAAATTATATTATTATACAGTGAAACCTACAAAAGCTGAAAACTATGTAAGGCAGGAAAGTGTCAGAGAAGGAAAACTCAAATATTTTCCACTAAAACAAGCGAAAGAAAAGTGGTAAGACTGCACCCTGTCAAAGGTGGAAAAATTTCAAGACATGGAAAAACAAGGCAGTTCTGTCAAGTTCTGGCTCTCACAGGTTTCACTGTACTATGTAATATATATTACATATTGTTCATTTGTTTATAAAGGGAGAATGTCTTTTAGATGTTCCAAATGATGCTGTTTAATTCTTGCTTCAATATACAGGTAGTCCTTGACTTATGCTGGATTCAAGTTACAACGAACTGCACTTATAACCATCTGGTTTTTTTTTGAACATCTTATCATTAGTAATATGTACTACATACAATGTTGCAGCACATAATTTGCTGATGTTATCATTCTGATGCCAACCCCCAAAGACAAAGATGGGATTTATAAAGATACTGATAATAAAAGGCAATAATAATGAAAACTAAAAAAAAAATTTAAGTATTTTACTTAATGTCACAACTGACTTACAACGGAGTCGTCGGAATGGAACCCTGTTGTAAGTCAGGGACTACCTGTATGATATATATTTTTTTAAATTTGGGGGAAATTTTCAAATATTTATTCCTATTCTTTTGCCTCAATCTTCTTTTACGGTCTAGCATTCAGTTTCAGCAATCTACATTTCACATTACTTCAATATTATTGGCTTGTATGGTGAAATCTTTCTGGATGGGCCAAAGCAATTAAAGCTAATGGTTGCATTATTCAATAAAATTCTACCGTTTATTGCTCAAAACAAATTGAGGCAGCTATATTACTTCCTTCTTTTATTTACTAAATATCACTGTTAAAAAGCTTGACAATGAAGAAAGTTATTACCTCTATTTAAAAAAAAAGTCTTATGTATTTTCACTTGATTTTTTTTTTTCATCCTCTCCTGTGCTTTAAGGAGAATGAAAAAAATCCATATAATAATATACCTACTATTTACTGCTAAGTATGCTACATGATTCTCTCATTTCATCATTACTGTAATTCTGAGAGGTAGTTACTATCCTCACTTTAAAAATGAGGAAACTGACAGCTTGTTAAATTATTATTTCAAGGTAGATGTGTTTATGAGTGTTTAATTGAGGTTTGACCCTGACAAAAGTGACACCTTAAGAAAGCCAAAGTCTAACTGTAAATCATGTGAAAACTCAATGTGACAAGTACACAATAGCAGTATATTCAAGGTACAAAAGCAACTCAGAGAAAGGAGTAATTAACTATGGGAGTAGAAGGAAGAGCAGGAACGTTTAACTGCAATTGACAGTGGCTGTACTACTCAATTACTCTCGTAAAAAAAACTTAGAAAAGAGCAATTTATTGTGATGCTGCCCAAAAGGAGAGGAAGGAATGAATTCAATTCTAAAGGTTTTATAGTTAGAAAGAAGTTAGAATCTATTTCTTTTGACTTGCCTGAGCCAGAGATCCGGAAAGGAACTAAATAAAGTATTTCTTTATTGAAGGTAAGAGTTTAAACCATGTTATAATAGCATGTGCATTTTTAAATAACTCATGAAAACAAAAATTGGTTGTTGCATTCCCACTATCTCCTCCATAATTTAGGACCTTATTATCTCTCACTAGAACAACCACAACAATCTTCTTATCTACCATCGTCTTCTAATCAAATGTTTCCTTTTTGGTTCTAGGATGAAGTTCATTAGGTCTGGAAAGTTGCTTAGTATATAAGATAGTTAGTTCAGTGGTTAGGATACAGATCTCTGGGTTCAGAGCCCAGCTCTACTACTTATTAGTTGACTAACTTTGGTAAAAAGAAAGGTGATCCAACTGAATGTGGAAATTATTCAACAATATCACACACAAGTAAAATTTTGCTGAAGATCATTCAAAAGCAGCTGCAGCGGTACATCAGTAGGGAACTGCTGGAAATTCAAGCTAGATTCAGAAGAGGACGTGGAACCAAAGATAGCATTGTTGATGTCAGATGGATCCTGGCTGAAAGCAGAGAATACCAGAAAGATCTTTACCTGTGTTTACTGGCTATGCAAAGGCATTCGACTGTGTGCATCATAACAAATTATGGATAACACTGGGAAGAATGGGAATTCCAGAACACTTAATTGTGCTCATGAGGAACCTACACATAGATCAAAAGGCAGTTCTTCTAACAGAACAAGGGGATTCTAAGTGGTGTAAAGTCAGGAAAGGTGTGGGTCAGGGTTGTATCTTTTCACCATACCTTTTCAATCTGTATGTATGCTGGGCAAACAATCTGAGAAGCTGGACTATATGAAGAAGAATGTGGCATCAGGATTGGAAGAACACACATTAACAATCTGATATGCAGATGACACAGCCTTGCTTGCTGAAAGTGAAGAGGACTTGAAGCACTTACTGATGAAGATCAAAGACTATAGCCTTCAGAATGGATTACACCTCAACATAAAGAAAAAAATCCTTACCGCTGGCAGTAGCGTCTGGGGTCTTAAAAGCCTGTGAGCAGGCTCCAGTGGTCTCATCCCTTCAGCAGCAAGGGAGAATGAAGAAAATAAGATACAAGGAAAAGACTAGTCCAAAGGATTAATGGACCACAACTACCACAGCCTCCACCAGACTGAATCCAGTACTGGCTACCACCACTGACTGCTCTGACCGGGATCACAACAGAGGGTCCCAGACAGAGCTGGAGAAAAATTGTAGAACAAAATTCTACAATTCTACATTTCTAGAATTCTACAGTTCTACAAAAGACCAGACTTATTGGCCTGACAGAGACTGGAGTAATTCCGAGACTATGGCCCCCGGACACCCTTTTACCTCAGTAATGAAGTCACTCCTGAGGTTCACCATTCAGCCAAAGATTAGACAGCCCCATAAAACAAACGAGACTAATGGGGCACAACAGTCCAGGGACAAGGACTAGAAGGCAGGAGGGGACAGGAAAGCTAGTAATAGGGAACCCAAGGTTGAGAAGGGACAGTGTTGACATGTCATGGTGTTGTTAACCATTGTCATAAAACAATGTGTATACTGTTTAATGAGAAACTATTTGTTCTGTAAACCTTC